CAATTCAGAGTAGCTAGACTGTGGAGCCAACCTAGGTGTCTCTCAGTAGACGAATGGATAAAGAAAATGTGGTATACATACTCAGCGGAATATTACTCAGCTTTAAAGAAGAGTGAAATGATGGCATTTGCCAGTAAATGGATAGAGCCAAGAGGAATAAGCCAGTCCCACAAAACCAAAGGCTGAACGCTTCTTCTAATGTGTGGATGCTAATTCACAATAAGGCGGGGGTCACTAGGGAAGAACAGCGCTACCTTAGATTAGGTAGAGGGACGTGACAGAAGGACAGAGGTAGGTGTCACCTTGGGAATTCTCTAAGTGCCCCTGTGGCTGGCCTGTCTCTGTGGCCCGGCTATCTCGCAGCTCTGCGTGGAGCCCTGGATTGCGCAGGAGGCTGACCTCCCAGGCCTTCTGGGCAGCACATGGACTCAGGCCAGCCACCCCGTCTCCCTGGGCCTCGGTTCCCGAGGAACAACGTAGAAACGACAGGAGGACGCTCCTCACAGGGCTGTAGTTGGAATCAAGCAGAATTCATGTAAGTGCAATTGATGTAATTACTCTAAGTTAGAATTAATGCGCCTGCAAGAGCGGCACAGGGCAGCCCAGAGAAAGAGCTCGCCATCGTGTGTGGTCATGTCATCACGATTGGCACTGATCACACTCCACTGCTGTTTTAAACACCGAGACGGACACTCCTTTATGGCATTATAACCCAATTAAAAACCATGGTGCGTAACTTCCCAAGCCCCTTATAAACTTAACTTCCATTATGTATAATTGGCTTGGGAAACTTTTCCCTTAAATAAATAGATGTGTATTGAACTCACATGCTCTTGTTCATGAACCTTTGACTTGAACTTTTAGTTCTGAGAATCAAGCTGGTGGGAACCGAAAAGCCACGTACTATGTTTTTAGTTGGTTTCGACCAACAATACTGATGAGGGTGCCAACCCTGCCCGGGCTGCAGAATGATTAAGTCATCATCAGAGGTCAACAGCACGTTTCTTCAGAAGAGCGCTGGGTGTGCAACGCAGACATCATGCTTTTATGAGCCTCTATCGGTGACCATCGCATCATTTAACTCGGTGAGTGTGTGCTTGGCGGTTGTCAGTTGTCAGGTAACAGAATACCACCTTATAAACAGAGGCCGCCGAGTGGACATTTCTCCAAACAGACGTTATCCTTGTGACTCCATTGCTGAAACTGTGTCCCAGCATTTCTGTCCCAAGTAAAATCTCATCTCAGAGACTGGATCTTGAAGCAACCAGCACATGAAGACCTTTAAGAGTCACCGCTGTTCCTCTGTCTTTGGAACTGCCATCGAGGGCAACTGGCCTGTGATTTTAGAGGGAGGCCGACAGCGGTCACCGGGAGACGGACCGCTGGAAATGCACAAAGGGGAAGGTTGAGGACAGAGGGCTGGACGTGTGCAGCATGCCGCTGCTGTCCCAGAGGGAGCTGAGACGGGAGTCACACTGGGTGTCCAGGAGAGGGGGCAGTTCAGTATCTTGTGGTGGATTCACCACTGTGAATCCTGGGTGGCTGCTCACAACAGTTGTCTGGAGAACGCGCATGAAGTTGGGGAATGTGGACTGTCCGTCAGGCGACTCCAGCCATCGGTGAACGGCACTGCGGCATTTTAGGTCAGCGTGAGGGTGCCCTTGAGGGCGGGCACAGAGTAGAAGGGCACACTCACACCCACCTTACGGAGCAGTGCTGATCTCCGGGCAGGGGCGGGGCGATTTTAACATGTGGGTGTGTGTCTGCGGTTTTCCAACTCCCCATAATGGTCCCGCTTGTTAGTAGGTAAGACATGGACACAGCCCCTCAGTGAGCCCTGGAGGGAGCCAGGGCTTGTTCAAGGCACACGGTGCAGGTGACTTTCCATCCCTCACCACAGCCTCGTGAAGCACAATGACTCTCACTCCCTTCTGCAGAGGATGACCCTGAGCTCAGAAAGCACCCGTGCCTGTCTAAGGTCAGCCTGCGGGGGACAGGCACCTCTGAGATCCCACTCACGCCAAGCTGGTTCCTCAGCCCGTGATTTCAACCGCACTGGAACTATGAACTCACACTTTGTACTCATTTTGCACGTAGAGATCCAGGCCACAGAGAAGCGGCACACGGCGCAGGGCAGACTCGCTCCTCGTGCCAGCCGACTCAGGGCCTTTGGGGAGTGGACGCTGTATAAAATGTAAACGGCTAGCCGGAGACTAAGAGAGCTCTTCATTTTGCCTGGAAGATGGAGACTACGGTCCTCTGGCCCGAACCCACCCACTAATGGGTGTAGAGTTCCAAAAGTCAAATAAACCTGCTCTGAGAATAAAGTCTCCCTGCTCTTTGGCTCCACTGCTCACAGACACATAGGGCCGAAGCCGTTTCCCCCTCTGAGCACGGCCAATGCACTGCTCCCTGTGCCCGGCGTCCAAAACCTGAAGGCAGCTCCGCTTCTAGATCATTAGAGATAGAAAAGAACTGGAGGCCAGTGGAGGCTCTCGGCTCACAGCCCCAGAGCTTCCCTGGGCAAGGGACTCGGGGAACCAGGGTTGCTCTGTGGTGCTCGCTGGCTTCTGGGGCCAAGAGGCTCCTCCTGCAGGACGGTGGCACCGTCGCCCTCCTGCCTTGGCAGGCCTCAGGGTGCCACGTGGCAGGAGCTCCGAGTCACAGCACATGCCTCTCCACCTCAGCACCACGGACAGTGGCCGGGCAGCTCTGTGGAGGTGTGGGAGGGATGCCCTGCACTGTAGGACACTCGGGAGCATTGCTGGCCTCTACCACTAACACTATCAGCACTGCCCCGAGTTGGCAAATGTCTAGACCCCAAATGTCTCCAGGGGTCTCCAGAGGACTCCTGGGAGAACCGTCCCCACGGAGAGGCACGGATCACGGCTCATTCCCAAACCTGGCTTGCCGTGTCCTTTTGGAAAGGGCTCGACGGTCCGCGGTCAGAATGGGCAGCTGCGTCTGCCGCTGGAGCTTACCCTTCTGGCCGTGGTGGACTGGGCCAGGAGGACACCCTGACCACGTTGGCCCATGGTATTCTGTCTTCTCAGAAAATGCCTCTGTGACCCAGGAACCAAGTCACAGGTACTTGGGCCCTGGAGCAAGATGCGAGGGGTTCCAGGGAAATGGAAGCCGGGTCCTTCCTCTACTTCTAAAGACGGCAGAAACACAGATCCTGGGAGGGAATCCGGGCACGCCAAGAAGGAGGCAAGCCGGTCACACTAGCACATCCCAGAGCAAAGCAAGGGCAGCTGCCTGCCGACGCACGGTGCCGTGAAGTCTGGGGGATTTCCCTGACTGGTTCCCGGGGTTCCTCTGTCCCCTTCCTACGTGCACCACGTGGCCCGGCTTCAGTGTGCATCTGTGTCCGACCCTCTCCTGATTCACCATGAGGGTGTGTAACGCCTGCCAATCAACAGGTGGCCCTCCCCACCTCCGACGAGCAAGGAGGATGGGTCCTGGGCCAAGAGATGCAGGTTCTAAGTCCTGCTCCGTGGCCCGTGCACAGGGCTCCTCTGCGTCCCGACCCTCCTCTGAGTCATGCTCGGTAACGATGGAGAGAGACCTGGGGTTCCCTCGAGCCACGGGCTCCCTGGTCCACTGCAGCACATTCAGTTGCCTTAAGGGTGGTGGTCAAGGCTGAAACTAGAGTCTCTTAAACTGGGCTCGAGTCAGGCGAGCTATGACCAGCCAGAGGCCAGTGGCACGCGGTTGAACTCTGCCAGCCTCAGTTCTGTACGCTCAAAACCGGAGGGAAGGTGTATCTCCCCACCGCAGCCAGCCTCCAAGGTGACCCAGTGATCCTGCCCGCTGTCCCCAGGCCCTGGCAGCCCGTGCCCACACGGAACAGGGCTGAGCGGCACAGCCAGAGGAGGTGCGGAAAGGAAGAGGTGGTGCCTGTGAGGCTGCGGAGGGACGCTGAGCTTCTGTGCTGCTGTCCTGGTTCTCGCTCCCAGGGGACGAGCCGCTGCGTTGTAAGGACTTCCCGTGGGAAGGCCCCGTGCCAGTGGCCACGTCGGAAAGCCTTCCTAACACCCCTCAGCACCAGCCCAACCCTTGGATCTGGGCAGCAACCACACGGCGGACCCCAGCCAGAACCTCCCAGAGAAGTGGCTCTTTATCTGCCGAATCGCGGGGATTGTGTTTGCTGGTTGAAGCCGCTAGATTTGGGGAAGTGTGTTACACAGACTGATGACTAATACCCTGCTTTGTAGGATTCTGGGGGGATTAAATGACAGAACATAGCGTAGGGGAAGTGTTTATCAGGGAGCTAGATATGCACTGAGCACTCCGGGAACTCTGTGTGGAAGTACCCCAAGCAGCTCACCTGCTCATTAAACGCACGTGAAAGAACGCTAGGCCTGCTGTCTGACCTGCTACCACATGGTCATTCTATGCAGCCCCAATCTAAAGTTACTTCCCCAACGAGCCCGACCCTCAAATTTCAGAACCCCCCCAAACATTCCTTTAGTTCTTCCTTTAAAAAAAGCCAAAATAGAGATATTTGAAAACTCCAAAGCCATATAGTTCATTTTCGTGCGGCTATGACAGAGTACCTGAGGCTGGTAATTTATAATGAGCAGAAATGTACTGGCTCACAGTTCTGGACTGGGAAGTCCAAGACCGGCCATCAGCAGCTGCAGAGGCCCTTCTCGCAGCTTCCTCACGTGGTGGAGACAGGACAGGAGGGCACCAGGGGCGGGGGTCGCCCTCTTATGACCACCTGTACTCCTGGGGGTGAAGGCTCCGCGGCTCAGTCACCCCCGGGAGGTCCCCTCCCAACAGCGTCGCGGAGCCAACCCAAGTGTAGCTTGAGCATTGGTGGGGACAATGTTGGGACCTGGCAGGAGACTGGAAGTCCCCCTGAGGGCCGCATCAGGACAACACTCTGGCCCTCAGCCCCTGGACTCATCATCCTGACCCACACTAGGTTCAACCAGGACATCCACTGTGTCCCCGGGAGGGACGCCCAGGGAGAGCGCAAGCCAAGGACTCACCGTCCACGCAGGAGGGCCTGTTCCTCGTGGTCCCCGCCACCTTCCCGGGCAGGCAGGAGCACTTGACGGTCTGCGATCGCTCCTCGATGCGGTTCTTGTTGCAGCACCTGTGCGCGGCGATCACTTCGCAGGTCCCTCCTTCTGGCGAGAGAGGAAGGGGCACTGGTTAGAGCAGGCGGTGGCTTGGGTGGCAGCAGGGACAGGGGAGGGGTGCAGTGAACAGCCCTGGAGGAGCCGCAGTCCCGGGGGGCGTGTGCTGGGCGGCCGCTAACACCCCGTGGAGCTGCCCGACCTGAGCGCGGTTCATTTGGGGAGCTTGGGCCTGGGCTGTCTTTGCATCTAGGATTCTCTGGGCTCCCGCGAGTGACAAGCCACTGTCACTTCAGAGATCCAGCACTGGGAACGGCCCAGAATCAGCTCCCTCCTGCGACCTGCCCACTCTCAAGGGACTGACAGCAGCCTCTGGCCAGGAGTCCCTTTCCAAACCCAGACCCCACCCTGGCCTGGAGGGAGGCAAGCGGGAGAAGCGGGAATGTGCCTTACGGGGCCTCCAGCACGCGGCCCCAGGCCACGACTTCCCGCAACTCCCACAGCCCTGCCAGGCCACCCTCGTCCAGCACAGGCCACCTGCACGTGGCCCTCTGCCAGGTCCTGACCATGCCACTGGGCCTCAGTGGAGGGCACCCAGGCTGGTCTTTGTGACCTGCAGGAGATCAGCTAAGCCAGATCTCAGGAGTTACCAGGTGACCAGAGACCAGGAGTCTGCCCTCGCACATTGAGTCCTGTATTCAGCATGGTTTTCCTTTGACAGCGTGAGTTCATGACCCTTAGGACTCTAAGCATTTGGGATCCAGTTGGCCGACGCTCAGCAACAATTTGTTAAATAACCACTACATACAAATGACCATGAGGGACATGTACACAATCCGCATTCACAGGGACGTGTGCACAATCTGCATTCATAGGGACATGTGCACAATCCACATTCATAGTGACGTGTGCACAATCTGCATTCATAGGCACGTGTGCACAGTCTGCATTCATAGGGACATGTGCACAGTATGCATTCATACGGACGTGTGCACAATCTACATTCATAGGGACGTGTGCACATGCACACTTAGGAAGGGGAGGAGGGTGGAGAAGACTAGGACACAGCCCCCTCCTGCCCTGCAGAGCTCATGCTGCAGCCGGTGCTTCTCCACGTGTCCCCCGTCACCCTGGGGAACTGTTCGGATGGTCTTCATGGGTGGGGTGCGGCTGCCTACGCAGGTGAAGAGCAGAGGGCACAGTGCCCAGGACAGTCCCCACAATAAAGTGAATATCAGTTGTGTCCACATGGAAACTCCAGCCTAGCGGGCAGACCGTGCGGTCTCTGGCTTTGGGAGTACTAGCCCCCTGCCCACCCCCGGCCATGGAGGGAAGATGCAGCTTTCAGACCTGCTTGGCTCTGCGATTCAGCGTCTCCTGCTTGTCCTCGTCTGTAAAGTAGGAATGACAATAAAGCCTGCAGCACAGGGCTGCGGGCGTGGGCACCGAGGGCACAGGGAGTCCAGAGGGTAGCCTCTGCGGGCTCGGGGTCAGGGCGCCCAGCCGGCCTGCCAGCCTGGCCAGCCAGTGGCCACCTCTGCACAGGGCTGTGGACAGCCCAGCTGGGGCAGGAGCTCCGTGGCTCTGGTGGGATGAGTGAAGGAACAGGAGGATCCACTGAGTTAACACAGGAGGCCAGCAGCGGCTCTGCAGACAGGCGGGACGCAGACCCTCTGCTGGCCCAGGAATCGGGGGATTGAAAGGGCCTGGCCAGGTGCTGGTGTCCTAGGTACTAAGTCACTTCCCATTTTAGAGGTTTTAGCCTTTTCAGAAATCTGTGAAGAGAGTCCTGAGGCCCTACATCAGGCTCCAGCCGTGTCCTGTGACGACGCTGGCACCAGCAGCTTCGGGAGCTGCATCTGCTGCAGGGGG